CATGGGGTCTTCATAAGCAAGGCACCGTACATTCCTCACATTTGAAGTAATTGAAGCATGGTTCCGTCACATGGAATACTTCCCTCCTAGTGGTAAGAGGCAACTAGATAGCTCTCGTGGTTTGGACGATGTTCACATGCATATCATTCATATCTACCATGTGATCATTTTACCCAAAGTGACTAGCGTCGTCATTTCCATTGTCACTCATCTTTCTAGCTACAATTTCAAAAAAAAAACAAGCCACTAAAACTAAATGAGTTTACTAACTAACTTCACAAATTAAATTCTTACCCATCACTCTCAGGTAGCAGCACCATTTTTTATAACACTCAAATTTTTCTCAAGAAAAGTAAGAGAATAAGCGATCGTTGTCAATAAATATACTCAACTAAGAGTCGGGGTCGAATCTTGTAGAGAGAGACATAATGCTCAATTGATTTGTGTCATGTCATAAAGCAACAATACTGCTACTTCATATGGCTGCCTCATCATCCCACCTTGAACAAGTTGGTCGGCTAGCCATTTGTTAACAAAATTCAAGCTATAATAGAAGTATTGCAGCAACAAGTTGTCTGGAATACCATGGGTTAGACATTGCAATAAACTTACAAAACTGCACCAATGTCCCATGAAGATGTTCGCCAAGCATCTTTTAATGTTTTGGATGTTGTCCCTAAGCTTTATCATCATCGAGAGAGGGAAAAATCTTTCAAGGAATACATCAGTAAGCTCTTCCCATGAAGTTATAGAATCATTAGGTAACTCGGCTAATCATTTATAGCTTCCCTTGTTAAGGAGAATGGAAATAGACTCAACTGAATGGACTCTTTTGAAATGTTCTTAAAGGTGAATGGTCCACAAACATCCACACAATTTCTGAGGTGTTCATGGGGTCTTCATGAGCAAGGCACAGAACATTCCTCACATTTGAAGTAATTGAAGCATGGTTTCGGTCACATGGAACACTTCCCTCCTGGTGGTAGGAGGAAACCAGATAGCTCTCGTGGTTTGGACAATGTTCACATGCATATCATTCATATCTCCCATGTTATCATTTTACCCAAAGTGACTAGCGTCGTCACTTTCATTGTCACTAATCTTTCCAGCTGCAATTTGGAAAAAAACAAGCCACTAAAATTAAATGAATTTACTAACTAACTTCACAAATTGAATTCTTACCCATCACTCTCCGGTAGAAGCACCATTTTTTATAACACTCAAATCCTCAAGAAAAGTAAGAGAATAAGCGGTTATTGTCAATAAAAATACTCAACTAAGAGTTGGGGTCGAATCCTATAGAGAGAGATATAATGCAAAGATTTCAATTATGAAATTTAAATTGTAAATCAATTCATTTACAACAATTAAAAGAGAAGGGTGGATAATCCCACTAAATTTATGAAATAGGATTTTGATATCAAGTGTCACAATTCAACTAAAATTTTAGAGACTCAAACAATTAGAAAATAATATAGGGGTGCGGGGATTGGAGTTGATGTCACATAGGGGTAGTTGTGTTGCTCCATAGTGCTAAACAATCAAGGATAGGCAAGATTATCTTTAATGAAACTAATCTTCGTTCGATCTCATCATACCAATTCATAGAATCTTCTCTAGGTCTCATCTATGTGAATTACAAATAAACCCATTACCTTACGAAATTCCTCTTTTGATCAGATTTGAGCAAATAGATATGACCTATAACATCTTTTTGAGCAAATCATAGACATCAAACCTAAATTGCATGTATTAAACTAATTGCCCACTTCAATTGATCTCTTTCGAGTGGCTTACTCGTGGTTTATGTCTCTTCCATGCTTCATATCGATCCAAAACAGATTTTGTTGGAGAAATATTCAAGAGGTAGACAATTGCAACCAGTGTTTTTCCCCCAAAGTGAATAGGAAGTCCCCTTTCATTAAGTAGGCTTCTGGCCATTTCAACCATTGTGCAATTTGTCCGCTCAGCAACTCCATTTTTTTGTGGCAAATACGGTGCTTTAAGCTCCCTATGAATTCCATTCTCATCACTAAAATATATTTAAATCATTAGATAAAAATTTACCACTACGATTTGTGCGAAGAGCTCTTATGTTGCAGCATGTTTGCTTCTCTACGAGAGCCTTGAATATCCTGAAATTCTCAAACGCTTCAGATTCCAATTTTAGAATGTAAGCCTAGCTCATACGGCTATAATCATCAGTAAACAAAAGAAAATAGTGACTCCCATCAAGTGAATCAGTCTTCATTGGTCCACAAAAGTCAGCATGTACAAGCTCAAGACAACTGCTAGCCCTCCAAGACTTTTTTATAGGGGAAGATCTCCTACTTTGTTTTTGAAATATGCACCATTCACATGACTCAAGCTCGCCCACTTTTGGTAAGTCAACCACCATGTTCTTTCTATTCAACAGTTTCAGCCTATTAATGTTCAAATGACCATAGAGAAGATGTCAAAGTTGAGTTTCATTAACACCTTTAGCAACTAACACATTTTTAATAATAACTAAAACATTAAGGGGAAGCATATTGTTCTAAGTCATATGCACAATTGCAATAGTTTGACAAGATTTTTCGTCACTAACAATACATGAGTCATTATCAAACAAAACAGAATAACCATTAACCATCAATTGTCCAATACTTAGCAAGTTGTAAGCCAAATTATGAATGAATTGCACATCTAGATAAGTTTAGAATTACCCTACGTTGTTTTGATGGCTATGGTACCTCTGCCTTCAACTTGTACTAGTTTGTCATCACCGAGTCGAACTTCACTCTTTTTCGACTCATCAAGATCTCTAAATAGAGGCTTTCTACAAGACATATGATTCGAGCACTATCAATAATCCAACTACCATCAAAATTGCTTGTAATTGGAGAATGAGACATGAACAACTTACTTTCATCCTCAACTTTCTCGGAGAAATTTGTGTGCTTCTGCTTATCTTTTTGCTTGGTCCAACAATATGCTTCAATGTGTCATGACTTCTGACAATACCAATATTTCAAGTTACTCTTGGGCTGACTTGACTCACTAAATTATCCTCTGCCTCTATCGTGGCCTCAACCTCGCCCACAAAATCTGCATCTTCCTAAACTAGAGAAATCTGAGGATTTTTCCTTGAAGAAAGATGGTTCATCTTTCGCCTCGAATGTCTTTTCTTCAACCTTCTCATGAGACCTATTTAGCCTATCTTCATGAGCTAACAAAGAATCCATTAATTCATCAAATGTACAATTAGATAAATCCTTGGATTCTTCTATAGTAGCAACCATTTGCTCAAACTTATTGATTAAAGACCTCAAAATCTTTGCTACAACAGTTTCATCAATAATTATCTCTCCATAAGACTTCATGAGATTAACAATTGCAGAGACTCTAGACATATAGTCTTGCGCCGATTCACCATTTTTCATACTCAAAGTTTCAAAATCACAACGCAAAGTTTGCAATTTAACTACAATTACTTTTTTATCTCTTATATACTCCTGCTGCAAAAAATTTCAAGTTTCATTAGACGTCTCTGCTACTGAAATTCTAGGGAAGTTATCATCATGAAGGCCTTTGTTGAATCAGGAACAACACCTTTGAATCCTTCCTGTGATTTTTCCGTAGTTGTTGTGTGTGGCCATCATCTGTGTCTGGAAATCCGTTTTCCACCAAGTTCCATAACTCTTGAGACTTAAAAAGAATCTTCATCTTAAGACTCCATAAATGATAATTCACCCCTTTAAAAACTGGGAGAGGTTGAGAGTTTGAATTGGTGTTCACTGCCATTTTTTATGGATTTCTCTCATGTTTTAACAATCTCTCTTCCTCACTCTCTCTTTGACTCAACTTGGCTGCTCTGATACCAAAATTGCCAGAAAAAAAGAAGAATAAAAGTAGGCAGAGTTATGAGAAAGAAAGTTTTATTACTGCACAATTCCACACTGCATAAAACAACTAGACATAGTACCCTTTATAGGCTTACAACTTAACAAATAAAGTTAAAAAATAGGAACTAACAAGTAGTGGTTAAACATTGGTAAAACACTGAAAACGTTTCCTACTAATATGATCGTCAATGAGAGTCTTTAATATGTTGTGGCTGGGAAGTTCTCATATGAATGACCGGACATCTAAAATCTGAGGAGATTAATGCCCAAACAATGTTATTTGAAGGGAGAATGCAACATAGGCCTGCTAACGTACGATATTATCCAACCAAGGCTACCTTATTAGAGGACTATGTTAGCTTGCTATCAAAACCGACGTTTTACATTACTCACATAAATTGGTCTTACCTAATTAGGACTCTGAAGTGGGATCCGTTGTTTGACCCAGAGGAGAAGACTTCAATAACTATTGCTTGTTGACTAATTCTTCAAGAATATCAACCAAGTGTAGAATCTTATTATGGTCCTATTTTTTAGTATTAGTAGAATTAAGGTTTACTTAGTCAATTTCTTTATTTTCCGCTTACTGTTTTAGTTGTTTGCTCCAATGACTCTAGGCTCTCCATGCAAATACGCAATAGGCTTTAGTGGCACTGGCCTCACTCCCGCCGTCATAGGTTTAATCTTTCTAGTATATGTATTTTGTGGTGACTGACCTACCTCCACCAGTGGTTGGCCACTTGCCGTCGCGGCAATTGTAATCGAGATCTCTATTTACTTTTGTTTGACGGTAGTAGGTTTAGGTTTAGAGAGCGTTTACGCTTTTAAATTTTACTTTGGCACCAAGAAACATAATTCATTAAAATAAAATTACTTTCAACAATGGCTTCTATTAAAAAAAAAAAGTTTGTGATATTCCACATATATTGACTGTGAATCCCTTGAACATAAGGATAGACGTTGACTCAGTAGTTTAGGAGCTGAAAATTTATCTTGAAGTTTCAAGTTCAAATCTCAGTCACTATATTATATTTATCTATATCCACCACAACTCACCTTCCTATTAAAAATTAATTTCACCAAATGATGAGAGGGAATAGGAGAAAACATGCATGGTGAGCACAAAAATGAATACTTATGGTAGAGGAATGGCATATACATTGTACGAGTAGTTGCCGAACGAAAGGGGAAAAAGCATAGCATAGTTACTAAGTTGTAAAGAGAAATTGAAAGCATGACTAAATAATATTACAGCAGAAAATGTATAGCATCATAAGCAATCAACCTTAGACTTTTGGCAGATTGAGTGATCATGATGTTATAGCTAGCTAGCACTTAACTTGGTTTTTTTTATCTTGTTAAATTAATGTGACCATTCACCGGAAACCTCCTCCGAATGCGGGAGCCCAGTAATCTGCTCCATTGTCACTCCCAACTTGCAGTGTGCATGATAGCGGAACTAGACACAAACCTCTACTCCGCAGATCCTTTTTCTCTTCTTCTTGATAATCCTTCATTCAAATACAAGAATTAGAGATTGTCTGTTGAAAGAAGGAACAAGCTGTAATTGTTTGAACACATATATAAAACAACTACCTGCTCACTATTTGCCTTCCTTTTCAGGCAGTTGTCATTGGATAGCTGCATTAAATTGAAAAAATAGTTAACAACACCATTTTTGTCACTAGTGTCATTTGAATGCTCGGATGGTAGCTATTATTATTATTATACGTAAATATGGTATGTCGTGATACAAATTAAAGGGAAATAAAGAATATACACCTGACCAGGGTCTTCGGGAAATAAACTATTTCTCTCATGAACCTGTAAAGCAAATAATAATCATTAATCAATAAATGCAATAACTGTATATTATATTAATATTAATTGAATTTCACATGCCATATGCCTCATATATTATAGACCACAGATATCACATGCATTACAGTGGTCCGCCCACGGCCCCACCTATAGCATTACCGACGGATATATACTTGGGAATGTTATCTCACATCCTTCGTCAAACTAATTAAACAACTCTCCATTCATTTTATATGATATAGTTTGATTTGATATAACTTTTTTAAAAAAGAAAAATTAAATTTTGTGACTTAAAATAAGTGATAATTATTTGTGTAGCTATAAATCATTTCATAAAATAAATATTTTAAAGTTAAAATATTATACTAAATATAAAAATGAGTTATTCTTTCTTGAATTGACTAAAAAATAAAGTGAGTTATTTAAATTGGGATAGAGGGAATGTGCATTTTGAATGTTGTTATAGTTTTAAAAATGGACTCCCTCCGTGTAAAAAAGAATAATCTAGTTTGATTCGACACAAAGTTTGATGATATAAGAAGATTTTTTAATCTTGTGTTTTGAAGTTAAAGTTATATCAAATATATCAAAATGTCTTTTAATTTTATGGCCTTAAACATGTCACGTAGAAAGTTAAAATTAAAATATTGCCTAAAAAGTTATTATTTTTTAAATAGACCAAAAGGAAAGAAGATCATTTTTTAAAAACGGAGTAATAGATATGGCTACAAGCTGAATCGTGAAAGTAAGCCGACATCGATTTTACGAATTTCTACTAGCTTTATTCGTAATGCTTCAATATAAAACTTATGTATTTAGAAAGTTCAATAGTTAACAATTCATATTTTTAAAAATTATGATATGTTTATATTTGTGTATTTTTGTGTGTGTAGGGGTCATGTATACTACTTCCTCCGTTCTATTTGATGTGAGGTAGTTTGACTCGCCACACAGTTTAAGAAAGAAATGAAGACTTTTAAAATTTATGGTTCAAAATGAATGATAGAAATTTGTGTGGCTGTAAATCATTTCATTAAGGATAAAATATATATTTTTTATAGTTATATTGTTACTTAATATAGAAATTTATTATTCTTTTTGGGACTAACTAAAAAGAAAAGTAAGTTGCATAAATTAGGACAGGGAGTATGTTATTTCAAGAAAGAATATGTACATAAAATAATATGTGTAGTTTAAAGGTTAGTTTAGGAGAAAGAATAAAGTTTAAAAAATGGGAAAATTGAGAATCTTACAGATTGCTGGCGCCTCATATTTCCTGATCCACTACCTAGGTAAGGCAAGCTAAGGGCCTGCAATTAAAAGAGAAATTGGAATATATTTTTACAAAAACTAAAACTCATTTTATTTTTCAATCTTATATATTCCATTACTTATGTGTTTCATGGTAGTTTGGGAAAATGAAAGACACAAGAAATGTCACCTCAATTTGGCTCTGCAGGAATCTGACGTACCCAATTGCTTCTAACAGGACAGAAGCTGTGTCAGTCTGCAAAAAATTTAGTAATTTAGGGTATGTTTTGTACCCACCAAAATATTCCCCCTAAAACAAATCAATTTTCTTACTTATTTACTAATATTTGATAAATATTATCTCAAATTTTTTTTATATAATCTAGCAAAACACTATAGGGGTTCCGGGGTGATGGTTTGGCATCGTCATAAGGAGGGATTAGGGGTGTTTGGCGGGTGGAGATGAGATATTGAATTTGCATATGGCACTAATCTATCTAGTAATTTTTCCTATTTTGATTAACAATAATTTATTTTCCTAGAAAAAACATTTTTGGCCAACAAAACTTGAAAATATTGAAAAAAAATATTTTCGTCTGTACCAAAAACACTCTTTAAGTTTTTTTTTTTTAAAAAAATGAGTAAAGAAACTGTAAAGTGAAAACCCTAAAGGATAAAAGGAGAAAGATGAAGACAGCTTTATAGGAGTATAAAGAAGTTATTTCTTTTAAAGCTGAAAATACATATTATTGTGTGATAATTCCACACTTAAAAGGTAATTAATTAGTTATGTTAATTAATTGGGTAAAGCTTACCTTCCCAAATGGGGAGACAAGTTGGTGAAGAGCTGTTATTCTGTCCCCTAATTTTTCCTTTCTCACCTGTTTACAAACCACAAAAATTTACATGTCTTTGGTGACATATATTGTATGGAAAAGAAAAAAAGAATCACCATTTTTGAAGGTTAAGACAATCAAGAAAGACAAGAGTGTTGTGACAAAAATGAGAAAGAGATGGAGAAAAAGAAAAAGTTTGATTTTTACTAATTATAATTATTTACCTTGAAGGTGGACTGAGTTGAAGATGGTTGAACCCTAGCCTTCTTATTTGGTGCTCTGCTGTTGCACTTTGGAAAAAGGCAAACAAAAGAAACAATTAGTCATTCCTAATCTAACAATCATATCAAACTAGTATGAATATATACCTCAGATGAATGATCTGGAGTTGGGTGTGAGTTTTTGTTAGAAAAATCAAGCATGTTGCTGCTCAAAGTTGTAACACAAGACTTGGGAGATGAGACTGGTATCATCTGTGCTGACCAAGTTGGTTTAGCAGCTAATTCTGCAGTTTGGTGATGGAACTCCACATTATTTCCATCTTCATACATATTATAGCTATTTCCGACATCCTTTTGGTTAACGTCTATAACAGAATCAGGTTGGTTCAGGAACGTCTGTTCATCCCAATTGTTCTCCAATTTCTTCACCTGCATATGTACTGACTTGTCTTCTTCTCCCACCAACCCACCTCTATTCATAGACCACACATCAAACACAAACAATTAATTATACCAACACTACTTTTACTTAAAAAAACATGAAAATCAAAATCAGTTTCAAACAAGTCAATATAAAAGTCTTCAATGAAAATCAAGATCGGAATATTTACACAAGTAATTGGCTCCACGATTCAGGTAGCTGATTTTGGTTACTATCATTCCATGAAGCAGCAGTAGATGACATGGGAATTAGTGAAGAAGAGAAATGAGGAAAATGATTATTAGGAGGCAACAAGGAAGGAACATGATGAGTAGTAGCAGCAGCAGTAACAGCTTGTTGAGATGATGATATGGGAGGCCTCATATTATTCATCATGTTCCACCAGTTAGGGCTTCCACCCATAATTTGTTGTACTGGTGATTTCTCCATAACATCACCTCTATTCATTTTCTTTCCAAACTTAGCTAACTTTCTCTTTCTTATTTATTTCATATCTTCTTCTTTCCAATAATATTTTTTCCTCAAGTCTTGTTTTTTTTTTTTTTTTTTTTGGAGAAACTTTGAGAGGTCTTTCTTACTCTTGATTAAGTAGAGGAAAGATACATAAAAGGGTAGCTATACTTGGAGGAGGAGGAGGAGAGAGAGAGAGAGAGAGAGAGAAAGAGAGAAGAAAGAGAATTTTGAATGATGGAGTTTTGAGAACCTTTGTCTTTCTATCCCTCCTTTTTCTTTATTACTCTTATTAGCTTTCCTTTATTATTTTTTCCTCCTCCTTTATGTTTTCCCTTTCCTTCTTTACTTTTCTCTTGCTTTTGCTTTATCAAAAGGTGATTGCAATTCTCATCAAGTAAAATAAAAGTTATGTATTGATGAGTTCTACTCCTATGGCTGCTAGTGCACCATAATTTCAACCCTTTTACAACCTTTGCTTCTTCAACTCCTATACTTACCATACATGATACAACTATGACTTTACCAATATTACATTTAATTGTCCATAATAACATGAAAAATATATTTGTTACTAAAAATTAAATTATGTTTATAGTGTAAAAAAATATTCAATGTCATTGTATATAAATTGCACCATTTTTTGCTAGGCTTTCAACATCTACTTATTTTGACAAGTAATTTAATCAGATGTATTTTTCGAAAAAATAATTTTAGAGAACAGCAATTTATGTTTGGGTAATCAATTAGAAAAATACTTTGTTCAATATTAGAGCACTAATTTTTGTTTGATTATCAAACTACAACAAAAATAGTTTTAAATGACAATAAATATACACATTAACAAAGAGTGTTAAAATTTTTGCCGACATTAATAAATTGTCATTTGATCTAATGTCGTTATAGGATTTAGGGATATTTACAAAGAGTGTTAACTGCCACTAAAAATACATATTTAGTGACAATTAAGTTATTGTCATTAATTTATATATTATTATTTTATATTTCATATATCGATTTACATACTATTTTGCAGAATTAGAAAAGAAGGTAACAAAAATATTTTTGCAAGATTAGAAAAAAGAAAAAAAAAATACTAACAAATATAGATTTCAGCCCTCCCAAAAAATGTGTTATATTGATTGAAAATTTGTATATTTATTTAAAATAGTTTCTCTCTATAAAATAATCTTAATATTAAAGGTACATTAATGCTTGACATTTTTCGTAATTTGACTCTTAAAAATACTTTTTAAAAAGATTAATCAAACTCAATTTGCTTATGAAAAACACTTTCCAAATGAATCAGTCAAATACAAATTGTTATTTTCTAAAAGCATTTTCCTAAAAAACTATTTTTTTTAAATGTTTCTATTAATAAATAGTTTTTTAACAGCGATACTAAACAGGCTCTAAATTATACGTGGGAGGTTAAATTTTGGGAATCTTTTATGCCGATGTATTAACGATTCTAACAGGTTGAATATCATGTTTCCTAAATCCTAATATGTGATGTTTTTTTGGTTGTAGTAACTAGTAAGTAAATTGAGATGTCCGTTGATCCGATGGTATTTAGTTAAATATGAAATTTAAGAAAGAAAAAATAGCATTTAAACATATAATCTAAAATAAACTATAAATATATAAAATTCATGAAATTTTAAATATAGAAATGTACCTGTTTTTAAATAAACATTTTAAAATTATTCTAATTTCTAACTATCTAACCTATTCAGCATGCCCTCCTAATCCACATATTTGCTATTCTCTTGTTATTAAAAGTAACTAAAATGATAAAGAAATTAAAGAACATTATTTATTCTTATTTTTTTAGTTATTAATTATTCCATTGACTTCCAAGAATTAACAGATTAATACTCAATTGATTGATCAATTGACTACTATAACTTTTACCATGTTGGTGAGTATTTGATTTTGTTGAGTTTTGAGCTTTTTTCCTTTTCTATGTGGATAAATAAAAGTTCAAGGTTTTGGGTCTTCCTTCCTTTCCTATGTGGATAAATTTAGTCCAAATTTGACTAGTCCACTTTGCCCATAAGCCCAATATTATGGTGCATACATAAGACTTTCTTTTAGGTCTTATTTTGAGAGGTATGACAAGAGATTGAGAGCAGCCATATAGAGAGAAAAGTGAGAAAGTGCAGATTTTCGCACAAGCCTTTGCAGCCAATTTCAAATCGCGATTCCTGCTTCGTTTCTTGTCCGATTTTGCTGATTTTTGAACAGCTTGTTCTTTTCAACTTAATCTTTGATTGGGAACTGAGAGAGGGTGATGTGGAGTTCTGTAGCTCCAAATTTTAGCTCATGAACAGTAGCTGCGGGTTTGGTGTTTTTGCTTCTTTTATTTCTCTAGTTTTTGGTGCTATCTTGTAGTTGTGTTGCTCTGATAGCACTTTGTTGGTGACCATTTTGGAGAACACTTTTGTATCTCTTGTTGATTATTGTGGAGCTTTAGCCTTGTGGTTTTTACTCTTCACACCAAAGAGGTTTTCCATGTTAAACTTTGGTGTCTCATGTGTTGATTTATTTTTCTTGCTTGGTTGATTTGTTTGCTGCCCAAACAGTTTTATTCTTGCATTATTTTGTCTTCTCTTGGTTCAAATAGAAGGGAAAGTTTTGACTTGGGTTTTCTTTCGCTATTGTCCTGTCGTCCACATTTATGTTGTGCTTGCCTTTCCCAACAAAGTGGTATCAGAGCATTGGGTTGTTGTTAATCATCTATTTGCATGATGGAGTCAAATATGAGCAAGATGGTTTGTTTGAATGGTAATAATTATCATACTTTGAAAGGCAAGATGAAAAATCTTCTATTTGTCAAGAAAACACATCTATACCTGTGTTTGCTTTTAATAAACCCGAATCTATGAATGATGAGGATTGGAAATTTGAGAATTTACAGGTTTGTGGATTTATTAGACAATGGGTTGAAGATAATATTAAAAATCACATTGTGAATGAGACACATGCCAGAAGTTTGTGGGACAAGCTCGAGACACTATATGATTCGAAGACTGGCAACAATAAATTGTTTCTTTCGAAACAATTAATGAACATCAGGTATAAAAAGGGCACTCCTATTTCTAATCAAATTAATGATTTTCAGGGTGTTCCTGACTAGCTGTCCGGAATAGGTGTAAAATTCGATGAAGAAATTCAGGGACTATGGCTTCTTAATACTCTGCCAGACTCTTTTGAAACTCTTCGAGTTTCTTTGACTAATTCTGATCATTGTGGTGTTGTAACCATTGAATATGCTAAGAGTGATGTCTTGAATGAAGGGATGAGAAGAAGATCTCAAGGCTCATCTTCTTCTAGTTCACACTCCGATGTTTTGATTACTGAAGACTAGGGGAGAAACAAGTTTAGAGGTCAGAATGACAGAGACAAAAAGTAGAGGAAAGTCAAAGTCCAGATTCAAAAATGTTACATATGACTATTGCCACAAGAATGGGCATATCAAGAAATATTGTTCAAGTACAAGAGAGATATGAAACAACAAAAGAAAGAAGGCGATAATGAAAATCGTGTTGTTGTTGTTGCTAACGATGACCTTCTTGTTTCTTGTGATGAAAATGCCGTCAATCTTGTTTGCGATGAGTCTAGCTGATTTGTGGATTCTGGTGCTACTTCTCATATCACGCCCAGGAAGGAATTATTTTCTTCTTATACTCTAGGTAATTTTGGGATGTTGAAAATGGGCAATAATCATGAGGTTGAGGTTCTTGGTATTGGGACTGTTTGTTTGGAAAGTAATAATGGTTCCAAACTAGTTCTCAATAATGTCAAGCATAATCCAGATGTCCGCTTGAATTTGATTTCTGTTGGATACCTTGATGATTAGGATTATGTTAATACCCTTGGTGCTGACCAGTGAAAGCTTACAAGATGTTTGATGGTGGTAGCCCGTGGTGACAAGTTGTCTAACTTGTATGTTTTTCAGGGCTCCATTCTCAGAGGCTCAGTAAATGTGGTGGAGAATGATACTTCATCATTGTTGTGACATAGAAGACTGAGTCATATGAGCGAGAAGGGATGAACAATTTGGCTAAGAAGAATTTGCTTTCTGGAGTGAAACAAGCAAAGTTGAACAAGTGTGTTCATTGCTTAGTTGGTAAACAGAAAAGAGTTTCTTTTCAGAGTCATCCGCCTTCAAGAAAGCTTGATTTGCTGGAGTTGATACATTCTGATTTGTGTGATCCTTTTAAGGTAAAATCTCTTGGTATTGCACTTTACTTTGTGACTTTTATTGATGATCATTCGCGCAAACTCTAGGTATTCTCTTTGAAGTCCAAGGATCATGTACTTGATGTGTTTAGGAATTTTCAGGCCTTGCTTGAGAGACAGACAGGGAAGAAATTGAAATGCATCCGTTCTGATAATGTTGGTGAGCATATTAGTCATTTTGATAGATATTGCAGAGAGTAGAGTATTCGGCATCAGAAAACTACTCCGAAGACTCCTCATCTAAATGGTTTAGCGGAGAGGATGAACAACACTCTTGTTGAAAGGGTTAGATGTATGATTTCAGATGCTAAGCTGCTAGATTCCTTTTGGGCTGAAGCACTTAACACTATTGCCTATGTTATCAATTTATCTCCTACTGTTGCTTTGAATGGTGATGTTCCTAACAAAGTTTGTTCTGGTAAGAATGTTTCTTATGATCATCTTAAAGTTTTTAGGTGTAAAGCCTTTGTACATGTTCCTAAGGATGAGAGGTCAAAATTGGATGTTAAAACTAGGCAATATATCTTTGTTGGTTATGGTCAAGATGAATTTGGTTATCGTTTCTTTGATCCAGTTGAGAAGAAACTAGTTAGAAGTTGTGATGTTGTGTTCTTTGAAGACCAAATAATTGAAGATCTTGACAAGGCTGAGAAAGTTGATTCTCAGAGCACTGAGAGCCTAGTTGATGTTGACCCAGTTTCTTTGACTATTCCACCAGGTGAAAATCTTCAAGTTGATATTGAAGATAGTGATCATATTCAGAATGATCAGTATGTCGTTGATGCTCCAGTGCAAAACGATGTAGTTGGTGAGGAACCAACTATTATTGATGCTCCCGAGAGTTCTCTCAGAAGATCTACTAGAGAGAAAATACCTTCATCTCGGTATTCTCCCAATGAGTATGTACTCTTGACTGACAGGGGAGAACCAGAAAGTCTTGATGAGGCCATGAAAAGTGAAGAAAAAGAAATGTGATTTGAAGTTATGGAGGATGAAATGAAGTTTCTACATGATAATCATGCCTTTGATTTGATTATGTTATCTAAAAATTGAAAAGCTTTGAAAAACAAGTGGGTTTTTAGGGTGAAATATAAAGATGGTAACCCAGTTTCACGGTACA